TATAGTTTGGTCCCTTACTTACGTGAGGCTTTGACCTCACATTTTCACACGCCCCTTCATGTATGACAATTTTCAAGCTGGACACATGAACAACACAAATAGGTGATGTGGAGTGGCTGTTGGGCACTTCACACATGGACCAACCTGCTTCGATATAATGAAAAAACTTCATGTTCCATCGTAAAATCAATTGACAATACAGGAAGCAACCTAACCTCTAATATACCCTTACATGGTTTGATCTCTCACCGATGTGGAACTTTGTCCTTACATTCTCACAGTGCATATATATTGGAGAACTATCGAAAGAAAAACTCAAAATTCATTGTGTAATTAACAGTGAGAATACATCCTGAACAACATGATTGTCAAAAGTTATACAAAGAAACTGATATCACAGTTAGGTTACTCACAATACCTTAAGGCATGCGCTAAAGAGAATTGGCAAGTTGTGTAGTAAATTGTTCATATGTATCGAGTTGGATAAATTTAGAATAAGATCTCCATTTGCACACCCATTTCTCCTTTTACACATTTTGAGTTAATTTAATTTTTTGAATTCTCTTTTAATTCAATCAATATGAATGACATAAATAAATAAAATGTGAGAAAATATATGCGTCTATGCACTATGGGAGATCTTGCATTCACGTGATTGTAGTACTAAAGCGTATTGATTACACCCAGTCCTATTCGTGTCAGAAATTATCTGTACGAACTCGTCTGTTAGCTTAGATGGATGAGCACTTAGTTATACTTGATTATCACATGATTATATTACTGGCAGCATTTGATATATCATGACTTGACATAATTCTGATTATATTGCTATTGTACTTTTGTTACATACTTACGTAGTATGTTTTAAGGAAACTATACTTGTTTTACAGCGAGGGGTTACTATGTTCGAAAATAAAGTTTTCTTACAAACGTTGTTTTGCTGACCCACTCAACTTTGTTTTTCGCCCCTCCAGGTTTAGTAGCTGTGTTTATGTGTAAACAAGGATTCTGGCAAATCTCAATAAGTGGTAATCTTCAATGGTATAACCTTCACCCTACTTTACTGTACCATTCTTATGCTCTGCCATCACGTGTGAAAATGGTTCAATCCCGCTCACCAGCGCACTCTTTTGACTAGGCACTTTTAGGTTTAAATTTATTCACATCCTTTTAATACTACACTACACTTTATGGCTTCGTCACCCTCTAGGTGTCCACCAGCACAACTCGAATTGGAGTCCAAGTGTACATTCCGGGTCGGAGTGTGTCATATATATATGATGAGATCATACAATTGAGCAAATTAAATAATTTCAATGGAGAGGCAACAATCGTGACGGGCGAGCTAACTCTCCAAATCGCATTGAAATTCATATAACAAAAGATAAATCTTCAATCAGGCAGCCTCACCACATAATTTGTAGAAAAGCCTCTACAAACAAAGAGGAATAATTCTGCATTTGGAGTAAGATAACGCTCTACTAAAGATTTTAATAAATGAAGTGAATCATACCGTATTGTTCACAATTAAAAATCTTTGCTCCTGACAGATATGGGTATATGTACTCATATATGAAATTATTGGGGACAGAAAATTAAATACAAGGTCCTGCCATAGACAGCCTTGTGATATTCAACCCATGTCCAGCGGCCTATCTGAATTCAAGAGTGAATGAAACTAGAGTGGGAGAGTAATGGCTCTGTCTTCTATGGCCAAAGTATTAAACACAATTTAGTACATAACAGGCTGTGATGATTAATTGTTGTTGATCTAACCACAAGTCACTACTCATTACTGTTGAAGATAGAAACCATATTAGCTGAAGAATGTCTGTTAGAAATGCTGTTAGTAGCTGTTAGAGTTTGTAAGAGTTTGTTAAGTCAGTTAACTCCAGCTTAAGACACAAGAAAGCTCATGAGAGCTATATAAAGTTGTAGTAGTATCTATGTAATTCATTCAGAAGTAATACACTCAAATAGTATCTCTCTCATCAATTCCTTTCTTTTCTGCTTTCTCATTCATTTAATCTTTCTCTGAGTTCTTCATGTTCATCTGTTAACAGTTATAATATTAATTACATTTCACATAATAACATCTACAGAGAGGTTCTGTTCTAATTTAGGTATTAAACCACTTGCAGAGACTTTCCATTATCGTGCATGCCTTAGCATATCCTGATGGTGGTTTGCTCCATAATTTTCAAAGATTTGCTGGATAATGGTTTATTTTATTGGATTATCAAGTTTACCATCCGGATCTCACTTCCATTGTTTATCTATTTATATGTCGGTGGATCTTCAACTAACCTACCAGCTAGTAGCTGTTAAATGGAAAGTCTCACAGGATATGCTAATAATGGTTTATTTAAATTTAGTAGCTATTAAATGATAATGATCTGTCTGTGGATCTTCAACAAACCTACCAAATTTAATAGTACCAGCAAACTTGATGAGACATACCAGAATTCAATCGGATCGTGTTGAAAGAAACAGTAATGATTGATACCTCCATAGCATTATTGGAGTGAATGATTGTATATGATATCATAGCATTATTGGAGTGAATGATTGTATATGATATTAAGCCATTAAGATCTTTGGATTTGGCACGACGAAGTGTGTGTATAAATATTACATAACGATAAAACTAATTTAGGTTTATATTATTTTAATTAGTGATAAGATTAAAGAAATCAATGATTTATGTTATCTTGCCGTATTTGTAACCTAAGGGCCGGTTTTTATTTTTGAAATGTTAGAGGTCTTGTGCGGAAGATAGTAGATGAGTCTTTGTATCATGCTACAAAGCTAAATTATAGGTCTATAGTTGTACTAGTAAGTGATCTAAATGGAGTACTATTACTTGAGTTATAATTGAAATCAACAAAACTAACATATACGTCTATAGTTATACTAATATGGGAATTGGGTGTTCCCTATTGATATAATTGCTAGTGCCGCCCTTTTTGCTATATTCGCAATAATGTAATTTTTAGGATAGCATTGATGTAGTGGAAGTGACATTATTGTTTTAATTATAAAAAAAATCAACAAAATCATGAAAATAAATAAATAAAAACAAAAGAGAGAGGTTGTATTGGCATACAAAATAAAATTGTGACACGTAAACAAATAATTGCCCATAAAATTGCTAAATTTGGTCACAATCTATTGATTAGTCTCTTGGGTTGCTCTCCGATCTTTAGATATTGAAGAACGTTGAGGTTATACTATAAAATTAAAGGAAAACTAATGAAAAGTTCAAAAAAATTTACTTTTAATGAAAAATAACAAATAAAGGTGCAGTGAATAGTACTAGAAAAAAAGGTAAAAATGTGATTTTTCGTTAAAAGTAAATAGTACTGGGAGTGTTTCGTTAAAACTCCCTAAAATTAATTGACAATATAAGGAATAACTTAACTGACTTATAAGCCCATGCAAGATCACTACATCCCATCAACGTGAGATTCATTCTCTACAAGTGCTGATGATTTGTCCGGAGTTGCAACATCCTCAGTTAATTTCTCAAATTCATTCGACAAGTTTGCAAGTGGGTGAAGGAGCCTCAAACCCAGATTAGGAGAGATGCTTTATTTCCACTTGGGTAGTGTTATTCACACATTCTTTTTTACCTCCCACACACACTTGTTAATTTTTGTCAATTGATCTTCTTCAATTCATTCTATCCTAAGACGACAAATTGAGAGAGGTGTGTGAGAGGTAAAAATGAGTGTGTAAATAGCACCACCCTTTCCATTATGGCAACCCTCCTTTTATGTTGGTTATGTTCAGCAAAAGAAAATTGTAATTGTCCCTTAATGACCAATTTCATCCATAAACTTTAATTTTAGCCAATTACCTTCCTAAACTCTTATAATTAGTCAATTCCCCCTATTGTTAAGTTTTTGACCGTCATTTTGCTTGTTTAAATTTTTTTTCTTTCTAAATTTAAATGCTTACTCTCTCTTTAGTCTCCACTCATCAACAACCAGGCCATGGAGGAAACCTACATAGGGTTGGGCACGGCCCAATTTTGAAGGAACAAGACCGGACCTGAGTTTAAAAGAAACGGGTCGGGCCAAGTCGGGTACATTATATTTCAATACAGGAATCAGACCTAACCCGGCCCATTTCAAATGGGCCGGTCCGGGTTGGGTCCACAGATTTTTTTTTTCTTTTTGTTTGGGAAAATAGCAGCACAGGAATCCTGACCCCTTAACGTCTCCGCCTCCCTCCGCCAAGGCCACGCCCCCTCAACCCCGAATCCCTCAAGCCCCTGGAGTCCCAATCACAGGAATCACGACCCCTCAACTCCTCTGCCTTCGTCGGGGAAGACAATGCACGTTGACTGTCGAGAGAGAGGGAGTGAGATCGCAGGGAGGTGAGAAAAGGAGGAGGAACGGTCCACATGTGGTGATAGTGCTCGCCGGAGTGTACGCAGAGGCGGTGAAGGTTGCGGTGGGGTGTATGTGTGGTGTGTTTGTGCTCTAGGAAGGAGAGTTGCAAAGATGGGGAAAGAAGAAACAAGGAGAGGAATAAGGGAGAAGGTTTAAGAGATTGGGGAAGGGGGAAACACGGGGAAGTGGGGGGTCTGTCTGTGTGTTCTCAGAGAGGAAAGAGCATTGAGATAAGAGAGATGGAGACAAGGAGACAAGGAGAGAGTGTTCTCGAGAGTGAGAACTATCACGGGGGAGGAACAAAAGGAAGTGGCCTGGGAGACAGAACCCAACACAGGGGTATTTTCGCAAGTTGTACGATATTTTTAAATTGGGATGTTACACAAACGGGTCGGTCTGGGTACCCCTTTTTTATACTTCTGAACCCGGCCCCCTCCTAAAATTTCAAAGCCCCACCCCGCCCCGTTTTTCTTTTTAAAAATTAAGAATCGGCCCGTACCCGTCCTGAACCTTGATTACCCGCTTGACCCGCAGTTCCTATATCCGTTTAACCACCCCTGACCTACATCATTTCCACACTCACAACAAATGGATAAACAATAACCTATTGTCTTACGATTTTACTCTACTTGTTTGGTCAGTAAAGACTGCTCCTCCACTGCCCCTAAATTCGTGGCCGCACATTTTCACCAGCTTAACCACTGTTTCTCCCACCACCACCAGAGGCCCAAACTCCCAATCACCACCCTCTTTTTCCAGACATGGCAGAAATCTATAGGATCCGATATCACCGATCTGGTTGATTGTTGGAAGAGGAGCGTTCAAGTTTGGAAATGATGGAGGTCTCCTACATGGCTTGGACGTGTAGGAGAGTTTCAGAGAGAGAATAAAAATTTATAGAAAAATAAAAAAATAAAAAAATTTAAAGAAAAATAAAAAATAATAATAATAAAATAAAAAATGACTTTTCTACTCTTTGAAGCTGCAAACGAGGCGAACGTTAATGAAATGTTGGATGAAAAATTCAAAAACCTTAACAGCAGGGGACAAAACTGAATAATTATAAGAGTTCATGAAGAAATTGATTAAAATTAAAGTTCAAAGAAAAAGTTGGTCAAACTCTACAAATTTAGGGAGAAATCAACAAAGACTACTCTATTTCATAGATGCGATTCATAACCATAATCTATCACATAACTATGCCATACATAGGACATCCCTTCGTACATTTCTCATAATACACACGTACATAATTAAGAAAAGCATTTTATTTATGCACGTACGCATTGATGAACAAATGCATGCATGATTACATATAATTACGTTTAACAAGGCCAGTAGAAGCTCTTTCCAACCGTTGCATATGCTGCCCATATGGTTTTATTCATTAATTAATTCATTTATGCCCTGAGAAAATGAGCATCTAGATCCTGGACGAGGTTAACCATCAAACCGATGTATCTATCTGGAGCTTCAACGTCTTCGTTCAGTTTCTCGTATTCGATCCACAGGTTTGCAATACCCGTGCCTTCATCTTTTTGAGTGAATTGATAGACACCCTTGAATCTCTTATAATACTTGAACATTTCTCCTTCCAATCCAATCAGAGTTGCGGCCTTGTTCTCATCGTCTAGCTCCACCTGTTCCTTGAATATTCCGACATGGTCCCCTATATATGCATGCACGCATTCATGTTTAATTTCACCACACCAAAATATACAATCTTTCTCATTCTCTGTATGGTGTGTGTGTGTGTGTGTGTGTGTGTGTGTACATAGATCGAAGCCCCTTCCAGTGATCAGGATCTTGCTCCATTGGCAAAAACAGGACAACATGACTGCATGTACGTAGGGAACATGTGTGTGTGTGTGTGTGTGTACATAGATCGAAGCCCCTTCCAGTGATCAGGATCTTGCTCCATTGGCAAAAACAGGACAACATGACTGCATGTACGTAGGGAACATGTATTTACCGTATTGGAAACTCATAGCCCGGAGCAAAATTTGAAGGAAACAGTAACATAACTAAGAGGTCCTATGGTGTATATATACAAACATGCAAACTCATGCTATGAACGTATGATGACGTTGAGCACATCTGTTAAGGTCATACGTATATAGTTAATATTTAAACATGAATAAAAATTGAATTTGTACTTGCCTAGTTCATATTTCCAAATCTTAATAGAGCCATGTGTTTCCCAGTCTCCTTCATGAACATCAACTCCTTTGATATGGGCAGTAGAAATGTTTGGGATGAGGTGGGCGCTCTTGAAGATGTTATACAACTTGTCAGCTGGTGCCTTAATTTCTATTTCAGTCCCAATTTTACCATGCAACACCATGTTTATAAGCAGTTTTGATGGATGCTACTCAGAAATTATAAGAGAAGAATGTTAAAGTGTGTGTATAATTTCGGCTCCTACCTCCTTAAATACAAGTGACTAGAGTTAAATTGCATAATATTTTAATAGTGGGTCATCCAATTTAAGAAGCATTTAAATCATGAAACACATGATAGATAGTAAGTCATATATTTTTAAAATCATACTTCTTGAATGCAAAATCAACTCTTTAAAAATGAGATTCTTTATGAATTCTCTACGATCACCTCACAGTTTAACATCAATTCTCGTATTAACATTGTAAAATATTGTGCCAAAAATATAAGGTGACAAAGAATCTATGAAAAGAGTTCCACTTTTGAGAGTCTCCTTGGTATTTCTCTAATTGGAATCATATGAAGACAAGTTCACAATATGCATTGATAGATGGAAGGTTTGTTTATTTATCTCCGTTTTATAGTGTCTTTTCAGTTTTAAACAATGACAAAGTATATGTTATCAATTCACAATAGGACGGTATATGTTACCAATTCACAATAGGACGGTATATGTTACCATTTCACAATAGGACAGTATGTGTTATCAATTCACAAATAACATTGTGTGTAGTTTCCAAAAAAAAAAAAAAAAAAACATTGTGTGTAGTTGACCATCACACTAGTAAAATATTGTGCGTACATATGTTTATTATCATTATTTATTTTTTCGGATAGATTGATTTGTAATGCGTTTGTGTTTTTTATCAGGATTCTCTTTTTTTCCTTTTTTTTTTCCACTCTTCAGTCTTTTCCTAGTTGAATGATTACGATTAAATCACGTCAACATCTTGTATTGTCTTTTTTATAGGAAAAGAAGAAAAAATGAAAGAGAAAGAGGAGAGAACCGGAGCTAAGGGAAATGGAATGAGAGAGAATCATTTCTCTCTATTTTTTTTTGGCAAATATTAGTTTACTATCCTCATATTTTGTAGTTTTCAACATTTAGTACATCAAGTTTTTTTTATTCTAGAGTCATACCTAAAGTGTTAATTTTAAGACAGTCTCATACATCCGTTAGTCAAACTGTTAAATCTACCATTAACTGATGATATGACGCTTATGTGGATAATAACTGGATGCCACGTGTCATTAAGGGTCACATGGATTTTTTTGAGAAAGGGTTCAAAAAAAAAAAAAACTGAAACCGTCTTCTACCCCCGCACCCTCTCACCCTCCCCCTCTCTCTCTCTCTACCTCTCTCTCTCATCTCTCCTCTCTCCTCTCTCCTCTCTCTACCTCTCTCTCCTCTCTCTGTACCTCCCTCCATTCTCCAATCTAGCAAAGATTCAATCTTTTCCCAATTTCAAATACGGAGGAGAGAAAGCAGCTTTCCCTCTTTCTCTGCAATTTCTAGGGTTTATTGAAGAGATCCCGACCCCGACCCGATCTTCTCCGCTACACCACCCATTTCCCACCACCGTGATGTTCCTCGACAGCGCCCCGGTTTCTCAGAGCTCAAGCCTGCCTACTTTGCCAAAATCAGAGCTCGAGCCCACCTTGGACAAACCCTGCAAGAAGATCCTTCTGCCACTGATTTCTTCATCTCAGCCAGAGCAAAATCATAGGTTTTCTACATTTTTTGGTTTCTGGGTCTGAGAGTTGCTTTGTTTCTGGGATTTTACAAGGAAGAAGAAATGAGAAAGGAGGAAAGAAGGAGGAGAGAAGGGAGGTTGCTTTGTTTCGGTTATTATTATTTTTATTTTTTTTGAACCCCTTCTAAAAAAAATTTAAAAAATTCACGTGAACCTCTTAATGACACGTGACGTCCAGTCATTGTCTACATAGGCGTCACGTCTTCAGTAAACGACAAATTTAACAGTTTGACCAAAAGATATATGAGACTGTCCCAAAATTGACACTTTAGGTATGACTCTAAGGCGAAAAAAAAACTTGATGTACTAAATTTTGAAAATCACGAAACATGAGGGTAGTAAATTGATATTTACCCTTTTTTTTTTTTTTTTTTTTTTTTTTTAGCTAAAAAGTCATTACCAACTCCGACTTTCTAATAAAACAAAATAGAAATGATAAAAAAAAAAGTAGGGGGATGACTGATGAGGTAAGGGTATCCACAAATGTTAGATTCACAAAATCTTGCTAAATTAATGTTTTTAGATCTATGTCACTTAATACTACGGTCTAGTGATATTCATTTTTATTTGTAAGTGAGAGATCTTTGGTCTGATTCTCGCGCAAAGGAAAATTTGAACCATATTATTGATAGTCTATTGTGAAGCTAAGCACATCTTTTTCTCTTAGTGTAGATAATATCGTTTGTTAAAAAAATATATATATTTTTAGATCTTTGAAGATTTTCATTGCCAATGGATCATCCCTGACTTGCATTATTTATACATATAGTCTATTCAGACCATAAAAAAATATTGTCTATAAATAATATCAATTATTTAACATTGCACCACGCTGCCAGAGTGTATGAAGACTTGTATTACAAGAAATCGTTACGTGGAAGATTGGAGAAAGTGAATGGAAGATTGTATATACAACAAGTACCAATAATTCTCTTAAAAAACGCGTGAGGATGAATTTTTCCTCCTCATCCTACCACGAGTTTATGGTTCCAGGATGTGGATTGTGGACACTCCGTAATGTCTAATATAATGGTGGTTGCTGTTGAACAATCTTTTGTTTTGACAAGTTATAGAATAACCTGAATTCTCTAAATTACGAACGGAGAATTTGAACATAAAAAAAGATATTTTTTTAATGTGTTCAGAACACAAGCACATACAACATACGCCATATGTCATTAAATAAGTAGAAAGATACTTGACAAACAAAGATATTGTGGACAAACAAATTCGAGTCATTCATTCTCACAATACATGTTACACGCACTTGGAAGACGAAGTCAAATAAAATTAACTAAAAACAAGGGAAATTGGTCATTAAAGGACAATTACAATTTTCTTTTGCTGAATATAACCAACATAAAAGGAGAGTTGCCATAATGGAAAGGGTGGTACTATTCACACACTCATTTTTATCTCTCACACACCCTTCTCAATTTGTGGCATCAGATCGAATGAATTGAAGAAGATCAATTAACAAAAATTAACAAGTGTGTGTGGGAGGTAAAAAAGAATGTGTGAATAACACTACCCAATTGGAAATAAAGCATCTCTCCTCATCTGGGTTCGAGGCTCCTTCACCCACTTGCAAAATTGTCGAATGAATTTGAGAAATTAACTGAGGATGTTGCAACTTCGGACAAATCATCAGCACTTATTGAGAATGAATCTTATATTGATGGAATGAGTGATCTTGCATGGGCTTATAAGTAAGTTGAGCTATTCCTTATATTTTCAATTAATTTTATAGTATAACCTCAACGTTCTTCAATATCTAAAGATCGGAGAGCTAACCCAAGAGACTAATCAATAGATTGTGATCAAATTTAGCAATTTTATGGGCAATTATTTGTTTACGTGTCACAATTTTATTTTGTATGCCAATACAACCTATCTTTTTTGTTTTTATTTATTTATTTTTCATGATTTTGTTGATTTTTTTTTAATTAAAACAATAATATCACTTCCACTCCAGCAATGCTATCCTAAAAATTGCATTATTGCGAATATAGCAGAAGGGGCAGCACTAGCAATTATATCAATAAGGAAAACCCAATTTTCATATTAGTACAACTATAGATGTATATATTAGCTTTGTTGATTTCAATTATAACTCAAGTAATGGTACTCCATTTAGATCACTTATTAGTACAACTATAGACATATAATTTAGCTTTGTAGCATGAATTTTTATACAAAGACTCATCTAATATCTTCTGCACAAGACCTCTAACATTTCAAAACAAGCCCTTAGGTTACAAATATGGCAAGATAACATAAACTGAAAATATGACTTTAACCCCTAAAACTTAATTTTCTCTACATAAAACCTGATATAAGTTTTTTTCTTGAATAAAACCCATTAACTAGATTCACATCAGCAAATTCATTAATTATGTTTGACTTCACACATTAAAAAAAATTATGCATGCCTAAAATACCCCTATTTGAATTTTTTTTTTTTTTATTTATAAACCCTCTTTGAATGTTTGATGTACATAATTAATGTCATGCGGTTGGATGGTAAGGGAGAATTAATGATTTTACAAAAAAAAAAAAAAAAAAAAAAACATTAATGTTATAAATTCATTGCCTAATATATAATAACATAAAACATGTCTAATGACACACCCCGACCCAGAAAGTCCACTTGGACCTTGAATCGAGCTATGTTGGCTGACACCTGGAAGGTGACGAAGCCATAAAATGTGATAGTGTATAAAAAGTGAATAAATTTGAATCTAAAAGTGTCTAAGTACCAGGATGTCAGAGCATAAGTAAGGTACAGTAGTGTGGGTAAGAATCATACCCTCAAAAATATCCATCAATACTAAGATTCGCCACAGATTCTTGTCGATACAAACTCAGCAGCTAAAAGCTGGAGGGCACCAAATAGAAGGTGTGAGTAAGCAATAAAACCAAGCTTCCCAAAGTTATTACCTCTCTAAAAGTAATGCCCCTAAATGTAAAACCCATATCGTTTTCCATAAGACAGTACAACATATATACATATATCCAAACCATACTCAGAAATGACCAAAACCACGGTTTGCCATCAACTCCACCATACATTAATAAGTAGGCCAAATGAACTAAATCAATACAAAGTGATATATCAGTCAGAGTCATCTAAAATGACATGTACAACTTATCCATATCTCATCAATCATGGCTAGCATATAAGTCGGAGTCACCTATAGTGACCTGTACGACTTATCCATATCTCATCAATCCTGGCTAGCATATAAGTCGGAGTCACCTATAGTGACCTGTACGACTTATCCATATCTCATCAATCATGACTAGCATATAAGTCGGAGTCACCTATAGTGACCTGTACGACTTATCCATATCTCATCAATCATGGCTAGCCAATAGCTCAATAAGTATACCTACACACGAGTCGGAAC